CTGGGGCCTCCCAAAGTGTGACTGGCATCAAAAGTGAGGACAACCTCATTTGGGATCATGCCCTTTGACTTGTGGGGTCTTCTCTAACCCTAGTTAGTGCAAGAATTGAATTTCAATATACCAGTTGGGGTCAGAATACTTTCGAATTATTGTACATTACTTTTATTAGCTTTTTTTCAGTTTAACTAGTATATTCTTCTTTTTGTGAAAAGTACTCAAGTACCTTGTAGTGTCATAGAAAAAAAAATTTTTTTCTGAAAACTTAATGGAATTTTTTCACTTAATAGCTTTTAACTTGGTGGTGGAGTTTTCAGGAACGAATTAAAGTCATTAACAAGGCGCAAGTGTATTTAGAAAAATCTATAATGAAGGACACAAATGAGAAATGGTCATTGTCATCATGCTTTGCTCCCTTGGCAGTAAAGAAGTTATGGCGCTCAGAAATCAGATATTGAAGTCTCCTGACCATGTAGAAAATTTTAAAGAAAATTGTGTTTAAAGAGATTACCCTGGCCAGGCATGGTGACTCATGCCTGTAGTCCTAGCATTTTGGGAGGCCAAGGCAGGTGGATCTGTTGAGCCCAGGAATTTAAAGCCAACCTGGGCAACATGGCAAAACTTTATCTCACCAAAAATACAAAAATTAGCCAGGCTGGTAATGCATGCCTGTGGTCCCAGATACTTGGGAGGCTGAGATGGGACGATTGCATTGAGCCTGGGAGGTTGAGGCTGCAGTAAGCCAAGATCACACTACTTCACTCCAGCCTGCATGACACAGTGAGACCCTGTGAAAGAAGAGAGAGAGAGAGACAGAGAGAGAAAGAAAATTACCAAAAGAAAATACAAAAAATAAAAAAAAATAGGCCAGGCATGGTGGCTCATGCCTGTAAACCCAGCACTTTGGGAGACCAAAGCAGACGGATCACTTGAGGTCAGAGGTTTGCCAACATGGCAAAACCCCGTCTCTACTAAAAATGTAAAAATTAGCTGGGTGTAATAGTGCACACCTGTAATCCCAGCTACTCCAGAGGCTAAGGCAGGAGAATCTCTTGAACCCAGGAGGCAGAGGCTGCAGTGAGCCAAGATCGCACCACTGCACTGCAGCCTGGACGACAGAGCTAGAATCAAAAAAAAAAGAGAAAGGTGACTTCTCCCCAAGAGTCCCGACAACACCAACAATTAAACCACACTGGGCAGAGGACTATTCAGAATTTCAGAAGCTATACTTAACAGAACTGGCCTAAGACAAAATTATACAATGGTAAAGTTTGGCTCCTATATCCTTTTTACATTGGGTCAGCACCCCTTGGATTTCTCAAGCATGTCAGCGCTATTGGAGTGGACCATCTTTTGGCCTCGGTTCCAAATATGCATTAGTTTTTATAAACCCTATCTTTTTGTGGTTGTCTGAATATGTCGTCTGTGCTAGAGGCCCACACTTAGTCTTCATGAATGTTAATAAGAGTTAATTACCATCAAAGGAAGAACAGATGCACAAGTGTCATCATGAAATGGGAAGTGTGGGTGTGTGAAAAGAAAATCCAGGGTGAATCAGAACTCAGTCTATGAAATTCAACTAAATAGATTGCCAAGAGACAAGTTTCTTTTCTTTTTATTTTAGCCTCTTATTGATTTGTCTGTGCTGCCAGGAATTTCATCACTCCATCAACTTGTCCCTTAATATGCGATCTTGTTATTATTTAGGAAATGAAATGAAAACCTCCTTTGGCATTAAAATAATGAGATATTACTCTTTGTGGGCAACTGTTAGGGGTTTTAGTAACCCACATATCTTTGGTTCCCTGGGTAAAGGCTTATTGATTTTTCTAGCACTTGCTGTTAATGCTTGATGTTTGGCAATGGAGTCTCAGTCTACACGAGGGAGCTGTTTACATGGTCAGCATAATTATTATTGGGTTGTACAATGTACATGAAGCTACTGGAACTTATACTCTTACAACACTATTATTAAACTGAACCATTTTTTTTTATTTCATTGCTGTTACAGTTAAGGTCATAAACACACCTACGATGATCCCATTCGAACCTAGATTACATACAGTAAGAAGTTACAAAGTCAGCTCCCGAATACGGGCCTGTCCTAAAATGTGTTCAGAGAGACCAGAGGGATCCTGCATTACTGGTGGTAGAACCACTGTAAGATACAAGCAGGAAAAAGGTGTGATTTTTCTCTTAACACCAGTCTCTTTCTCTCCCTGCTTCTCCAGATACTTCACTTTCCTGCCTTTTTTCCAGACCTTAGCAACTCTAGCCCATAGTCTCTATCAATGGAAATGTAGTCCCTTTCCTATTTGTCAGTGATGTTATGTAAGTATTTCAAGGTTATCTGAATTAATCAAGGTTTTACAATAAACCTTTAGTGGCAGCCTGCTGGGTCTGGTGAGCTGACTCGGAACAAAGCACTGGTGAGGAGGGGTCACCCACGAAGAAATTGGAAGGCCTGAGGAAAGAACAGAAATCAAGGAAGATGACCAGATTGTATATGTCCAAAGTGAAGGCAAAGTTGGTCATTTAGGCTTAGAGCACAGCTTCCTGAAATGTGTCCTTTGCACCCTTGGAACAGGGTCCACTTGAGGTCCACACCAGCCACTTCTAGAGCCAGAGACTTTGAGTCCTTGCCCCAGGATCAGTGGTTCTCAAACTACACAGCTATATGGGCAGCCAGGGGTCTCTTTCTTTTTCTTTTTTTTCTTTTTTGAAACGGAGTCTCGCTCTGTCGCCCAAGCTGGAGTGCAGCAGCGCGATCTCCGCTCACTGCAAGCTCTGCCTCCCGGGTTCACACCATTCTCCTGCCTCAGCCTCCCGAGTAGCTGGGATTACAGGCACGCACCACAATGTCCGGCTAATTTTTTTGTATTTTCAGTAGAGACAGGGTTTCACTATGTTGGCCAGGCTGGTCTTGAACTCCTGACCTCAGGTGATCCACCCGCCTCAGCCTCCCAAAGTGCTGGGATTACAGGTGTGAGCCACTGTACCTGGCATCAGGGATCTCTTTCTAAGGGGCCTAATAGGAGCAATGAAGTGGGTGAGTGAAAGAAGAAGGGGAAGGCATTATAGTTCTACAGGCCTTCAATATTTCTGTCCCATAAACTAATAATGGGAATCCACCATTTGTTTATAGCAGTCAGAAGGTCTAGTCTAGAATCTGCTCAAAGTGTGGTCACCATCGACATACATAATAGGCTGAATTTAACAAAAGGAGTTTCACCAAAGGAAGCCAGTTCTGGCTTCTCTAAATTATTTCCTGGCTGAGCACAGTGGCTCACCCCTGTGATCCCAACACTTTGGGAGGCCAGGGAGGGAGGATTGCATGAGCCCAGGAGTTCCAGACCAGCCTGGGCAACATGGTGAGACTTTCATCTCTATGGAAAATTTTATAAAAATTAGCTGGGCGTTGTGGTGCACACTTACGGTCCTAGCTACTTGGGGTCTGAGGTAGGAGGATTACTGAGCCCAGGAGGTTGAGGTTGCAATAAGCCATGTTTGTGCCACTAAACGCCAGTCTGGGTGACAGAGCAAGGCCATGTCCAAAAAAAAAAAAAAAAATTCTACTTTAGCAAATGACTTTATGTTCAAGACATTAAATGATAATTACCTCATCTAGATTAAGCTTGTGACTTTCTGCCTCTATTCTTTTAAAATTCTAAAAGATAGAAGATAACTGGAACTAGCACACATAATCTAGGCTAATTTTTGGACCCTGTATAGCCTTGATTCCTACACACACATATTACAAACTGAGCCTTTTATGTTCTACATTAACCTTCCTGAGAAACAGCTAATAGTACAGCTTTTTTTTTTTTTTAAGTGGTACAAACACGACTCATTGAAACCTGGACCTCTTGGGCTCAAGTGATCCTCTCACCTCAGCCTCCTGAGTAGCTGAGACTACAGACATGCACCACTACGCCTGGCTAATTGTTTTGGGGTACTTTTGTTTAATTTTGGTAGATATGGGGTCTCCTGATGTTGCCCAGACTGATCTGGAACTCCTGGCATCAAACGATCCTCCTGCCTCAACCTCCCAAAAGGCTAGGATTACAGGCATGAGCCACTGTGCCTGGCCTCTTTTTTTCAATTTTTGTGGATATTGAGGAAATTAAAATACTTTATTATACCCTTCTTAATCGTACTACTAGAAGTGCTTTTTCTCTGCCTACCTAAAAACCCAAATCCCTAATATACCAATTACCATTAAAGATAGTTTTAAAGAATGATGTCCTAGCAGAGGTTACGCAAGCAGTCTGCTTTAAAACTGTTGAAGGCCGGGCATGGTGGCTCATGCCTTGATTACGGTTTGTGGGCTCTGTGTCCCCACCCAAATCTCATCTTGAAATGTACTTCCATAATCCCCACATGTTGTGAGAGGGACCCGGTGGGAGATAACTGAATCATGGGAGCGTTTCCCCCATACTTTCTCGTGGTAGTGAATAAGTATCACGAGAATTGATGGTTTTATAAGGGATTTCTGCTTTCATGTCTTCTTCATTTCTCGCTTGCCGCTGCCATCTAAGAAGTGCCTTTCGCCTTCCACCATAATTGTGAGGCATCCCCAGCCACTTGGAACTGTGAATCCAATAAACCTATTTTTTTTTCCGAGTCTTGGGTATGTCTTTATCAGCAGTGTGAAAATGAACTAATACACACCTGTGATCCCAGCACTTTGGGAAGCTGAGGTGGGAGGATCCCTTGAGGTCAGGAGTTCGAGACCAGCCTGGCCAACATGGTAAAACTCCATCTCTACAAAAATTAGCCAGGTGTGGTGGTGGGCACCTGTAATCCCAGCCACTTGGGAGGCTGGGGCAGGAGAATCGCTTGAACCTGGGAGGTGGAGGTTGCAGTGAGCTGAGCTTGCATCCGCTGCATTCCAGTCAGAGCCAGACTTCATCTCAAAAACAATACATAATAAAATTTAAAAAAATAAAACTGTTGGGGGCATTAGCCACACAAATAACTGTCTAAAAGGCAGGGTCTCTGGTTTTTGTTGTTTTTGTTTTTACAGTTTTATTGGTTTTGTTTAAATCCCAATAAAACAAACACATTCGCTGTCTATTCACTTTCTGCACTGTGTAGGCTGGCACTGGCATTGGTGACTCTGATGACCACCTGAGCTGCTCTTTCTAAGATGGCTTTGCAGTTCTTGGAGGAAACATCATGAGTGATCTCAACACAGTAAGATTTGTTACACATCAGCAGTACTTCTAGTTCCTTAACATTGTGGACCAGGAACTTCCAGAAGCCACTGGTCAGTATGTGCTTTGTCTTTTTTTTTTTGTTTCTCCCATAACCAATGTTGGGCATAGATCTGGCCCTCGAACCTTCTATGAACCATGTTGCCAATACCTCTGTGTTTCCACCAGTTACACTTAATTTTGACATATCAGTCTGACTGGTGCCCAGTGAACTTCTTGGTGCTCTTTTTGACGATCTTGGGCTTCACAAGGGGTCTGAGGATGGCCATGATGGAGGAGATGGGTGTCACCTCCATAGGCTAGTGCCAAAGAAAAGAGCTCAGGTCTTTCTGTAATGGTAAAAGAGGACCCAGAAAAAGTGAAAAAGCAATGATGCCCAACCAAATTCAATAAATTTTTACTGCATGCCTGCCCTGTGAAACATGTTATGTCACTATCAGGATCTAGACTGAGTGGAATTAATTCAGAGAACACCAAAGATCACTCTAAATCATGTCTTAGAGAAACAGTTGAAATAATCAGAGATGGTTATACTGGAAATAAGAAGATTCTAGGAATATATGAGAGCCTTCATGCCTATTTAGCCCCCCCTTTTTTTTTTTTTTTTTTTTTTTGGGACGGAGTCTTGCTCTGTGCCCCAGGCTGGAGTGCAGTAGCCCGATCCCTTTACGATTATGTAATGCCCTTCTTTGTCTCTTTTGATCTTTGTTGCTTTAAAGTCTTTTTTTTTTTTTTTTTTTTTTGCAGAGATTACACTTGGTTTGTACAGGACAACACAGAATTAGTATCAATGAGTATCAGTCAAAATCAGTAGAATGAAATCATAGCAACCTAAGAAAAACCTTACTATCAAAGCAATCTAAAAATAGAATGAGCTGTTTTAGGAGGAGCAGAAGCCTCGCTAGCAATATTGGTAGCAGGGACATTATATACTGCAGTCTCTGGATACTCAATCTCTAAATGAGTCTTAATCAGACACTGCTGCAAATCAAATCTTAAATCACATCACCCAAAGTCAAATGCTGCTAACATAATGACATGTTTCCTTCTGATTTTTTTTCCCTGTGTAGTTTAACATAATAAAATTGTAGCACATATACAATCTTTCACTTTTTATAAAAAATTATTTCTTTCCGCAATTTTGTAGACTATCAATATTTACCAAAGCTTTCACTTTTTTTTTTTTTTTTTTTTTTTTTTGAGACAGGGTCTCACTCTGTCTCCCAGGCTGGAGTGCAGTGGCATGATCTTGATTTACTGCAACCTCCCTTTCCCAGGTTCAAGCGATTCTTGTGCCTCAGCCTCCCAAGTAGCTGGGATTACAGGCGCACACCACCACGCTCAACTGATTTTTGTATTTTTAACAGAGATAGGGTTTCACCATGTTGACCAGGCTGGTCTCGAACTCCTGGCCTTGTGATCCACCCGCCTTAGCCTCCCAAAGTGCTGGGATTACAGGTGTGAGCCACCACGCCCAGTCAGCTTTCACTTTTTGTTGAACATTTACAGTTTAGTGGTAAGAGCAGTTTTCAAGACACACTACCTGGTTGAATCTCTCTTACTAGTTATACAATCTTGAGAAAGTTACTTATTCATTGTGCCTCAGTCACCTCACTTGTAAAATGGGAACTGTACCTCAGGGAGTTGTTGTATTAAAGGAGATTCCATAGCCAAAATGTTTGTGTTCCCCATAAAATCCACATGTTGAAACCCTAGCCTATGGGTTCTAGGAGGTGGGGCATTTTGGACAGAGATTAGGCCATGAGAGGTCAACCCTTATAGGATTAGTCCCCTTATAAAATAAGCCCAGGAAAGCTCATTTGCCCTATCCACCATGTAAGGACACAATGAGAAGGCACCATTTATGAGTCAGGAAACAGCTCTCATCAGACATGAAATCTACCAGCACCTTCATCTCGGACTTCCCAGCCTCCAGAACTGTGAGAAATAAATGTCTGTTATTTAAGCCACTCAGTCTACTCGATTTTGTTACAGTGGCCCAAAGACACTAAGACAGAATCCAAACCTAAGAATATATCCTCTGCCAGAGTAGTGGCTCACACATGTAGTCCCAGCAAGAGGATCACTTGAGGCCAGAAGTATAAGGCCAACCTGGGCAACATTGCAAGACCCTGTCTCTACAATAAATTTTGAAAAAGAAAGAATAGATCCTCTATGTTCCAATGGTTGTTTGGGCCTCTCCTATAGCACCTACTATCTTTTGCCATCAACACTTATTGAGCTTTTACTAGGCAATTTAGTTCAATTTCCCAACAAATGAGGACCTATTAATCTACAAGGCATCTTGCTATGTGCTTGGTATACATGTAAATATGAAAGGAAACATTTACTCCTGCCCTCAAGTAACTAAGTGATCTTTGGGAATAAGAGATGCACAGTCCTTTAACCTTACAATAAGTGTGTTATGGATATTAAGAGCATAAGCACTGATGTCAGACAGACCCAGTTCCAGTCATTTTGTCTCTTTCGTTGGGAGACCTTGAAAATTACTTAATCTCTAAGCCTCAGTTTCCTTGGTTATGTAATGATGATAACATCTACTGAAAAGTACTCCAAGACTTGAAAAAGGCAATGTGCATAAAGCACTTAGCATAATGTCTGGCACATGACAAATTTTAAAACAGAATATTTATCAAGTAAGCATTATCCAACCCCTACTAGAAAAGCCAGACCACCTATCCACAGCAGCCTTCCCACTTACTACCACCATGTACGCACAGGGATAGGACTGGCTAGGAGGTGTTTCCCTTCCATTACCTAAGGCACTGCACGTCTCTTACGGAATTTACACCAGGCCATCCCACTAGACCAGAGCCCAGCTCATCCAAGAGACTCTCATGACCAAATCAAACACATCTCACACCCTTGTGGACCTAACTTACCACTACATATGTAAGCTTCTCTCAACATCTCCCAAACTTTTTTTACATTTGCTTAGCTGACACAGCTTCTCATCTACTCTGTCTGCAATACCAGCTCATCCCATTACCAATAAATGTTTTTTACATCCTCAACCTCATCTCCCAATATTCTTCCCACCTCCTTACCCAGACTGAAACCTGGTTCTTTCCTAGACTCTTCCCCAACACCAACTTTATCATCACATACACCTGGGGTTCAGGGTTAGGCGCATAGGTGGATTTACTATGAAGCTTATGAAACTTAAGCTCCAGTGTCCCTATCTTCTACAAGCTCCTTCTAAGGGAAACATACTAGGAATGCGTTCAATTATGTTTTCAAAAAATTGGTGGCCAGGTGCAGTGGTTCATGCCTGTAATCCTAGCACTTTGGGAGGCTGAGGCAGGTGGATCACCTCAGGTCAGGAGTTCGAGAGCAGCCTGGCCAACATGGTGAAACCCTGCCTCTACTAAAAATACAAAAAATCAGCCAGACGCTGGCAGATGCCTGTAATCCCAGCTACCTGGCAGGCTAAGGCAGGAGAATCGCTTGAACCCGGGAGGCAGAGGTTGCAGTGAGCTGGAATCATGCCACTGCCCTCCAACCCAGGCAACAGAGCAACACTCCATCTCAAAAGAAAAAAAAAAAGGCTGGGCGCGGTGGCTCATGCCTACAATCCCAGCACTTTGGGAGGCTGAGATGGGCAGATCACGTGAGGTCTGGAATTCGAGAACAGCCGTTGACCAGCATGGAGAAACTCCGTCTCTACTAAAAATACAAAACGAGCCGAGCATGGTGGCACATGCCTGTAATCCTAGCTACTCAGGAGGCTGAGGCAGGAGAATTGCTTGAACCCAGGAGGCGGAGGTTGCAGTGAGCCAAGATCACACCACTGCACTCCAGCCTGGGCAACATGAGCGAAACTCCATCTCAAAACAAACAAACAAACAAACAAACAAAAATTGGCAAAGATAATTTAGTTGCAGCCAGTTAAGATGCTCATTCCAGCTTCTCTTCTGTCACACTTCCCCTCCTCTCAGATGAAACTGGGGTTACCAATTCTGTCTTAATCAAAGGCACACAATATAGTTGATCACTCACTCTCTGCTTAAAACAGATTCTATTTGGATGTATAAGACATGTCTCAAAGTCAACATGTCCAAACTGAACTTTCTATTCTTCCCAAACCTGGGAAGACCTATCTCAACAGTAATTCTATCCTTCCAGTTGCTCAGGCCAAAATCCTTGGAGTCATTCTTAGACTGGGTCTCATTCTGTTGCCCAGGTAGAGTGCAGTGGCACAAGCCTCCCAAGTAGCTAGGCATGCACAACCACACCCGGCTAATTTTCTCTTTTAAATTTTTGCTATACTCCCGCCTAGGCCTCCCCAACTGCTGGGATTACAGGAGTGAGCCACTACGCCCAGCCCCTAGGAGTCATTATCTACTCCTATCTCTCATATCGGTTCCTTCAGCAAACCTTGTCTCCCACGGTAAGGCTGGTTGCAGTGGCACTCGCCTGTAATCCACTTTGGGAGGCCAAGGCAGGCTGATCACTTGAACCCAGGAGTTCAAGACCAGCCTGGACAACAAACCCCGTCTCTACTAAAAACACAAAATATTATCCTGGCATGGTGGTGTACACCTGTAGTCCCAGCTGCTCAAAAGGCTGAAGTGGAAGGATAGCTTGAGCCCAGGAGATTGAGGCTGCAGTGCACCACTGCACTCCAGCCTGGGTGATAGAGCAAGACCCTGTCTAAAAAAAAAAAAAAACAAAGTAGTGACTATCTCAACCACTCCCATCTATCCTAATGCAAGCCAAAATCACTTGCCTAGACTATTGCAATAGCTTTATTTCTACCTCTGCCTCACTGAAATATGTTTGGTTCTTAAGAACTTAGTTCACTGCTGGGCACAGTAGTGCACACCTGTTGTCCCAGCTATTTGGGAGGCTGCAGGAGGATCACTTGATCCCAAGAGTTCAGACTAACCTGGACAGCACAGTAATACCCCACCTCTACGAAAATAAGTTTCCAAATGGATGCTAATCTCACAATATCTAACTATAACCTACAAGGCTACCACAGACCCTGACCGACTTTCTCACTCTTCATCCACAACTTTGCTATTTCTGATTCCATTCAGGAATTCTCTTCCCCACACAATCTATGCTGTCACGTCTATTAAGTTCAAAAGCCAAATATAAGTATGGCTTTCTTCTCTGACCTCAACATCTAGCACATATACCTCTTTTACCCTGCTTTTCTTCAAATACCACACATTATCATGTATTGCTGCTCTATCAACACATAAATTCAATAGAGAACTTTTCATTCACTACAGAATTCTGTCTGGCATATAGGAACTCAAGTATTTGTACAATTATTGTCTACAAGTGGTAGAACACTACTTTCCAAACCTGGATCACATAGGGGCTCTTGTTCAAATGTACACCAATTCAGGAGGCACAGAGTATACCCAAACAGGGCATTTCTAATAGACTTCCAGATGACAACATGTCAAGTCCCAAGAATTTTCACCTACCTTCATTTATTCCATCTCATGTCAGTCACCTGCATTACCAATGTTAAAGCAACCACACACTACACCTACACTTCACCTTTTACTGAGTCCCTCAGTAGACGTCTTTCAGGACCACGAATTTTTTTTTTTTTTTTTTTTTTTTTTGAGACGGAGTCTCGCCCTGTTGCCTGGGCTGGAGTGCAGTGGCCGGATCTCAGCTCACTGCAAGCTCCGCCTCCCGGGTTTACGCCATTCTCCTGCCTCAGCCTCCCGAGTAACCGGGATTACAGGCGCCCGCCAACTCACCCGGCTAGTTTTTTGTATTTTTTTAGTAGAGACGGGGTTTCACCGTGTTCGCCAGGATGGTCTCGATCTCCTGACCTCGTGATCCACCCGCCTCGGCCTCCCAAAGTGCTGGGATTACAGGCTTGAGCCACCGCGCCCGGCCAGGACCATGATTTTTTACAATTTGGACAACCCCTCCAAATACTCCCAACTGCTTTTCTCCACAAATATGAACATGCACACATTGACAGATAAGACCCTGTATCTCCAAAAGTGTGTGAACATATATAAATTCCTTAAAACATATTTTTCTCATCCTAACACAGTGAAATCCCATCTCTACTAAAAATACATATTAGCCGGGCTTGGTGGTGGGCACCTGTAGTCCCCAGGAGGCTGAGGCAGAACAGCATGAACCCGGGAGCTGACCCGCCGTGCAGGAGCCCAGATGGTGCCACTGCACTCCAGCCTGGGTGACAGAAGAACTCCGTCTCAAAAAAAAAAAAAAAAATTTCTTAGAGACAGGTCTATGTTGCCCAGGGTGTTCTCCTGGGCCAAGCATCCTCCACACTCTGACCTCCGAAAATACTGGGATTAACTGGCATGAACCTGACACATTTTGTAAAGTATAAAAATAAAACTGGCATTTATCAGTTTACTGGCTGGTACAATTTTATGTAACTCAGGGAAAATAAGCCATCGAGACAAGTATATTGAGAACGTAATAAAATTAAATTTTAAAAGTTCTTGCCGGGCGTGGTGCTCCACGCTTGAAATCCCATCACTTCGTGGGGCCAAGGCAGGCGATCACTAAGAGACCGAGACCATCCTGGTCAACATGATGAAACCCCCATCTCTACTAAAAATACAAAAATTACTGAGCGTGGAGGCTGAGCAGGAGAATGGCTTGAACCAGGTTATAGTAAGCAGAGATCGCGCGCACACTGCACTCCTCCCTGGCGACAGAGCAAGATCCATCTCAAAAAAAAAAAAAAAAAAAAAATTTCTATAACCAATTAACTATTCCAGTCATATAAACACTCATAAACTGAAGGGGCTTGTTCAAGATGTTTAATTTTATGTACAAAAGAACACATGTGGTTTTTCATTGAGTAGATGCCTTGGATAATCCTTTGAAGGAAGATCACTCATAAACGGAAGGGTTTTTTCAAATGTTTATTTTATGTACAAAGAACTCTCATGGTTTTCAGATGGCCTTGGATAATGCTTTGAAGGAAGATCATTTAGTCCAACTGAAAAAAAAAAGCAGATAATGATTTATTTCAAAATGCTTTAATCTCTACTTGATTCTTACAAAAAAAAAAAAAAAGGCTCATTATAGAATGTTTAACTGGACCTCTGACCTACCCAAACTAACCACACCAGGTTCTACATAGTTTAAATATTTACTGAATGCCTACTCCAGAATCAACTATGTTTTAGAATGATTTTTGGTAATGCTATCCCGCTTCTTCCATCAAAGTAATGTTTCCCAAAACAAAACCCTAGTAAATAAATGATCTTTACCAAATGCACAGGATAGTTTTTCAGTAGGCAACTATAATTACACTGTTCATCTTTTTTTTTTTATTTTTTTGAGACAGTCTCGCTGTCTCCCGGACTGGCGTGCAATGGAGTTATCTCCACTGATTGCAACCTAAGCCTCCTGGGTTCAAGCGATTCTCCCATCTCCGCCTCGTGAGCAGCTGAGACCACAGGCGCGGGCCACCATACAAGGCTAATCTTTGTGGAGACAGGTTTTCGCCATGTTGGCAAGGCTTCTCGCGGAAATCCTGGGCTAAAGAGATCCGCCCACCTTGTCGGCCTCCCAAAGTGCTGGCATTTAAGGCGTGGGGCACCTCGCCTGGCCCACAGTTTATCTAGGACACAGAGCTAGGGCGTGGGCCAAGGTCCATTTTCTTATGTGTAATATACCTCTCGAATTAGGCGAACCTTCTAATTTTAACAAGAAGCATATACTGAAGTATTTGTTCAAGGCTGTCAAGCCTGAATTTAAAGGTACTTTATCTGTCCCTGCTGCATTGCAGAATCCATATTAACAATTTACAACAGGGCGCCAAGTGGCTCACGCCTGTAATACCAGCACTCTGAGGGGTCAAGGCGGCTGATCTCCTGAGGTCAGGAGCTCAAGACCAGCTTGGTCAACACGGCGAAATCCCATCTCCACAAACAATAAAACCAGGCCGGGCGTGGTGGCAGACGCCTGTAATCCCAGCCCCCCGGGAGGCTGAGGCAGGAGAATTGCACTCGGGAGGGGGAGGTTGCAGTGAGCTGAGATCACACCACTGCACTCCAGCCTGGGCAACAGACGGAGACCCAGTTTCCAAAAAAAAAAAAAAAATTTTACATCATTATAGAACAGTATTGTCCAATACAAAATAATTAAGAATCAAAAAGCTGGTGAATTTATCTCAAGGAGTCAATAATAAATTCGTTTTCACCTTTAAAAAACCCCAAATTACTATTTAAAAGATTTTTAGAAGCCAAAAGTTTCATATAAACATTTGCTTAAGGTGATAGAAGCACTAAATAGCGGACCCTTTTTTGCTGAATCTTAATAGCTTTCTGACCCCAAACTTTTAGTTCATTCCAGTATATGACCCTATCAAACACTTAGGGTGGCCGGGCGCGGTGGCTCACACCTGTAATCCCAGCACTTTGAGAGGCGGGCGGATCACGAGGTCAAGAGTTCGAGACCAGCCTGACCAACATGGTGAAACCCTCTTCCAAAAATAAAAATTAAAATGAGCCGGGCATGGTGGCGAGCGCCTGTAATCCCAGCTACTCAGGAGGCTGAGGCAGGAGAATCGCTTGAACCGGGGAGGCGAAGGTTGCAGTGAGCCGAGATCATGCCATTACACTCCAGGTTGGGTGAGTGCGACTTCGTCTCAAAAAAAAAAAAAAAAACCCTGGGGTCAGTGGTTAATACATTTATTTGGTTAGAAAATATCTAGGTAAAGCCGCGCGTGGTGGCGAAAGCCTTTAGTACCAGCTACTCGGAACGCCAAGGCAGTAGGATCGCCTGAGACCAGGAGTTCCAGGTTGCAGTGAGCCAAAACAACATCACTGCACTCCAACCTGGGCGACCGAGAGAGACTCTGTCTCGAGACTAGGTACTTGTAAGATCGATAAGTGAAAGAAATGTAAAACAACTTTAGTAGCCTCTGTAAAGTGAATAATTTCACCCAACACAATACATGGCACCTAAAACTGACTAAGCTATCTATGTAAAAGGGGGTAGGAAAGACTAAGTCCTTCACCTTCTCCATTCTATTAATCTGATTGTCCAAACCATCAACACTGTCACCAGCTACCAACTAAAAAAGAGGAAAAGCTCTTGGTCGAATGCTCAGATTTACCACCCCAGGGAAGATTTGTCGGTTGTCCTTCGCAGAAAAAATAAAGAACCACCACGACCTCCGCCCACACAAACATGCAGAACGCCTGCAGACGCCTACCTTAATGAAACCGATATCCTTCGCGTACTGACGGAAACACTGGCGGCACATATTGAGGCCATATTTCCGGATCAGACCGTGACGGTTTGAACACACGCGACTGTAAGAAAAAAGACAGCGGCTTTGCAGATCACAGAAATTACAAGACTCCGCACTCAGACGGCTACTACCCGCATCCCGGGACTCCCAGGCCCCAGCACAGGCCTGTAATGGCGGCACCAGCGGCTCCCAGTAGGCCTGCTCCCTCGTGCAGCCCGTGATCTCCTCTACTTGAGATTTTAAACAGCCTAGCGCTCCATGGCAACGCTTCCCCAAAATCACAAACTATTTCTCACCAAGAGCGAGAACCCTGGCCGAATTTTCGCGGGTGGCTCCAGTACAGCTGCTGGTGACCCATCTTGCTCTCCGAAGTGCAACGAGGTAAAAGGAAGGAGCTCGCCCACGCATGCGCTCTTCAAATTTTTGAGACAGTTTACCCAGAATGCAGTGCTCAAAGGAAACGCGTGCGCAGTGTGCTCAGGTTGTTTCGCGGGGTGAATAAAATGAAATCTTAGAGGCGTTGTGGGCCGTCCCAGTTGATGACGTCACCATACCACAGCTTCTAGTGCTATTCTGCGCCACTATCCGACCGCCGGGCGCGGTGGCGCGTGCCTGTAGTCCCAGCTACTAGGGAGGCTGAGGCTGGAGGATCGCTTGAGTCCAGGAGTTCTGGGCTGTAGTGCGCTATGCCGATCGGGTGTCCGCACTAAGTTCGGCATCAATATGGTGACCTCCCGGGAGCGGGGGACCACCAGGTTGCCTAAGGAGGGGTGAACCGGCCCAGGTCGGAAACGGAGCAGGTCAAAACTCCCGTGCTGATCAGTAGTGGGATCGCGCCTGTGAATAGCCACTGCACTCCAGCCTGGGCAACATAGCGAGACCCTGTCTCTTTTGAACAATAAATACGTTAATTTTGAACTCTAAAGAAATGCATATTCATAGCCTCTTTTATTGATTAAATCTTTTACTTTCTTTTCAGTAAAACGTTACACTTGGGAAAGGATTTTTCCCTCGACTCACCAGTGACACCTACTGGAATAAATTTACAAAACAACTTAAAATCAGCTGTAATAATCACGAGTCAACGGTAGGGTTTGCTTTTATTTTGTTAAACAGAGTACCTTTTCAAATTTATTTTTTTGACACACTCCTCCAAGAAATACACCTACACCATTCCAGAAAAAAAATGAGATTCTTTGGCATTTAGTGTATTTGATTCTTAAATGTAATTGGCTGAATGTAAAGTAGTAAGCAAGTAATGTGCAGTGTATGCTGCTTTGACTAGATAATTTGGTGACAAAACAACTAATGAAAAGCAAATGCAAAAATGCAAAAAAAAATGCAATAAACGAATTTCTGCTGAAAGATGCCTAAAATTCCATATGGTCATTTATAATGCCTCCAGATAAAACTGCTCTGAAATCAAAGCTTTAACTAGATTTATAAAATGTAGCACAGGGTGCAACAATTCAAGAAACTTTTACATATAAACTCTTATAAATTGAAATACAACACTTCTTTAAGGTATGTTATGTCAGGGTTCTAGTGGGGTCCCCCTACCCAATCATTAAGTTAGGCATTGTATTAAATGATTAAGGAAGGAGGGGAGTCAGAGATTTGTAAACTACATATAACTTGTTCCTTGCCCTCAAAATGTTCTAATCTAATCTACTGTGGAAAACAGGATTATCTCCAAGACCTCAACATACAACGTTTGTGCACCAGCAACACGTATACAACTAAGGAAAATATTCTGTATTCAATGATGGGTGTGCTCATGAAGTATGAGAGGAGCGAAGAAGAGAAATTAGTTCCAGCTTGAGGTACATTTGAGAGACCTTTGAGGTAGACCTTGAAGAATGGGATTTCTACAGGCAGCACTTGACAGAAGGGAATGCCTGTTGAAAGAAAGCACTTGAGCAGAGGTAAGGCAAACAACTTTGTGTAACTAGAATAGAAGATGCACAAAAGGCCTAGTGATAGGAATGAAAAGGTATTTTATTTTAAAGCCTCACTGGGCAATATCCAATGTCAAGTTTCTACAACTTTCCTATAATTTATATCGGTCACTAATGTGTGGTTTCTAAAAGCCGTTTGCCTCACAAAAGCTAATCTAACATTTGTCCACACTTTCTCAGGCCTCTCCTAGTTGGTCTCCATAATATTTTAAAGATTACAGTGGTTCTGAGATCAATTCCATAAATATTTTTAGTACTCTGATATATAATCCTTTGGACCTAAAGAAGTGAATTCATTTAGGAGAGAAAAAAAGACAAATAAGAAGCAACTAGTTGCACTTGAACAATCTTAATCCGAATACTTAAGTAATTCTTAATGCTTATTCTAGTCTATAGATTATTCTCTTTGATAGAGATATTGCAAAAGTGCAGCTAAGAAGTCGTACTTCCTTTCAGTTTTAAGATAATGTGACATCATCTATCCCAAACAATGGAATTATGCATTGCTTTTTCAATAAACTGAGAACAGCTTTAAAAGTTCATTTTAACTCAGTGTTTATCAAGAGCTTTTATGTTTTTGTTTTTCCTTTTGTTTTGAGACCGAGTCTTGCTCTGTTGCCCAGGCTGGAGTGCAGTGGCGCTATCTTGGCTCACTGTAAGCTCCACTTCCCGGGTTCACGCCATTCTCCTGCCTCAGCCTCCCGAGTAGCTGGGACTACAGGTGCCCACCACCACGCCCGGCTAATTTCTTTTTGTATTTTTAGTAGAGACAGGGTTTCACCGTGTTAGCCAGGTCTCGATCTCCTGACCTCATGATCCACCCGCCTCGGCCTCCCAAAGTGCTGGGATTACAGGCGTGAGCCATCTTAGTTCTCTTTTATACATGGCTTTGAAACTTTGAAATGCCTCTTCTTTTAGAACACATTTTCCTTTAATAGGATATTTCTTGGGTTGGGTTCTTTGTTTTTTAAAAAATGTACAATGAAGTACAAAGAAAAAAAAGAAAAAAGTGCCACAATGTCCTTGCCAAGATAACCCTACTAATATTTTTCTTTTGAAAAAATAAAAGTAATATATCTGTAAGATTGAAGCATTCTAACACTACAGAGTATAGATCTTATTTTTAAGTACATTGGAATAATATGCATATTAGGACACTATTATTCAAGGTGTCTTTAATTTTCTTTCTCAAATTATTCTTACAATCTTCTGTGATCCTCTATCCAGAATTTAATCATTTAAAAACCTTCATCTTAGGCATATACACTGCTGACGGGAATGTAAACTACTTCAGCACTGTGGAAAGCAGTTAGGTGATTTCTTAAAGAACTTAAAACAGAACTGCCATTTGACCAGCAATCTCATTACTGAATATATACCCAAAAGAATATAAATCATTCTACAATAAAGACAAATGCATGTGTATGTTCATCGCAGCACTATTCACAATAGCAAACACACTGAATCAACCTAAATAGCAATTTTTTAGGCAACAGTAGACTGGATAAAGAAAATGTAGTACATATACACTATGGAATGCTACACAGCCACAGAAAACAAGATCATGTCCTGTGCAACAACATGGATGGAATTGGAGGCCATTATCCTAAACAAGCTAACAAGGAACAGAAAACCAAACACCATGTTCTCACTTATAAGTGAGAGCTAAACACTGAATACACATGCACCCAAAGAAAGTAACAGACAGCAGGGCCTACTTGAGGGTAGAGGGTAGGAGGAGGGTGAGGATTTGAAAAGTACCTACTGGGTACTAAGCTTATTACCTGGTTGATGAAATAATAACCCCTGTGACACACAGTTTATCTATAGAACCAACCTGTACATGTTCCCTTGAAACTAAAACTTTTTTAAGAAAAAACCTGGCCGGGCGTGGTGGCTCATGCCTGTAATCCCAGCACTTTGGGAGGCTGAGGCAGGCGGATCACAAGGTCAGGAGTTCAAGATCAGCCTGGTCAATATGGTGAAACTCAGTCTCCACTAAAAATACAAAAATTAGCCAGGCATGGTGGCGGTGGCCTATAGTCCCAGCTACTCTGGAGGCTGAGGTAGGAGAATTGCTTAAACCCAGGACATGGAGGTTGCAGTGAGCCAAGATTGCACCACTGCACTCTGGTGTGGGCAACAGAGTGAAACTCCATCTCGAAAAAAAACCAAAAAACAAAAAACCCTGCATCACTCTTGAGTTACTTTCAATTTCAGAACCTTTAGGAGGCTGGGCATGGTGGCTCACGCCTGTAATTCCAGCACTTTAGGAGGCCGAGGCAGGCGCATCACGAGGCAGATCGAGACCATCCTGGCTAACACAGTGAAACCCCATCTCTACTAAAGAATACAAAAAATTAGCCGGACGTAGTGGCGACCGCATATAGTCCCAGCTACTCAGGAGGCTGAGGCAGGAGAATGGCGTCAACCCAAGAGGCAGAGGTTGCAGTGAGCCGAGATGGTGTCACTGCACTCCAGCCTGGGCGACAGAGCAAGACTCCGTCTCAAAAAAAAAAAAACAAAACAAAACAAAAACAGAATAGATTCTTTAGGAATAGAATCATACTTTTCCTCTAAACTTTACGAAACCTGTTTTACCAGAGACAGAGTCTAAAATACATGTTTTGCATGTTTGGTTATTACAGTATGCACACTTCAGTGTCATGCCCCAGTTAGAATTAGGTCTTATTTTTTTCTTTTCTTTTGGAGATGGAGTCTTACTCTGTCACCCAGGCTGGAGTGCAGTGGCAACATCTAGGCTCACTGCAACCTTCACTTCCCGGGCATTAGTGATTCTCCTGCCTCAGTCTCCTGGGTAGCTGAGATCACAGGTGTGTGCCACCACTCCCGGCTAATTTTTATGTTTTTATTAAAGACAGGGTTTTGCCATGTTGGCCAGGCTGGTCTCGAACTTCTGGCCTCTAGTGATCTTCCCCCCTCGACCTCCCAAAGTGCTGGGATTACAGGAGTCAGCCACCATGCCCACCCAGAATTAGGTCTTTATTAATAATTATTAACCCTTCAAAAAAACCCAGTTGTTCAATAGTGTTATGTGTTTGTCCATATCTATTTTAGCAAATATTAAATTTTAATTAACTGTACATATTATATTTTAAAGTAAAACATACATACTCTGGGAAAGGGGACTCAGAAAAAGGAAAAAAAAATACACACATACATGCATACATTAAATATATTGTTAAAAGTAAGTCTTTCTCTAACCCCAGGCCCCTATTTTCCCAGTCTCCCTATCCAAACCAACAAGTTAGCAGTTTTTAGAGGTTTTTTTGTTTTGTTTTGTTTTTGTTTTTGTTTTTTTGACAGTCTCACTCTGTTGCCCAGGCTGGAGGGCAATGGCGCAATGCAATCTCAATCTCAGCTCAGGACAACCTCTGCCGGGATCCCGGCTCAAGTGATTCTCCTGCCTCAGCCTCCCAAGTAGCTGAGATTACAGGCACAGGT